GGGGCCTGACCATTGGTGCCCGCCGGGAGCTCCGCCGCAGCCAGGCCGAGCGCCCCCGCAGGGCGCGTCCCGGGCCCGGATCCGCAGCGCCGGCCCTTCCGGTTCGTTTTCCCCGGCTCCGAGCGGCCCCGGCAAGTTAGAAAGCGCGGAGCGACGAGCCGAGGCAGAGCTGCCGACACGGTTAGCAGCCCCTCGTCACCCGTCACCCCTAGGGCCGCTGGTTAACAGAAGGCTCCAGCCGCAGGCCGGGCCCGCGCGAGGAAGGGAGGTGCAGAGGGAGCCCGTGCCTTCCGCGTGGCGGGACCGCGTGGTCTTGCACACTAGGAAAAACAAGCTCCTGTGTCTCCACTGAGCACCGCAGCGGCGCTCAGACCCACCCAGGTACCCCGGAGGCTGGCAAAGGTTCTCTGTTCACGTCCCTTGGCCAGTATGAAGTTCTGTTGTTGGGTTTCTTTACTTATTTTGGTTTTAACATTTCTTTATTGTGGGATAATCATACATGGATTTAAAAATGTGTTTTATATAGTATATATTAAAAACCATTATGAACTGAGTAGCTGGGCAACCATCGCTAGGTCAGCATAAATCAGGGCTCCCGAAGGAAAACGGCTCTAAGTCTCAATCAATCCGTCTAACCCTACAGAGGTACTATCATTCTTTTGAAAGAGTTATTCTTTTTTTTTTTTTAACCACAGATTGGGAGGGGGGGGGTGAGAAAGCAAGCCACCAGGTCCCGGACTCAAATTGTGGTTCCCCATGTGGGAGTGACCAGAGTTTTAACCACCATGCCACCTGCTGGTTCCCTGGCTGTATGTTTTTTTTTTTTTTTAAATAATTACTTATTTAGGGGCCCGCATGTGTCCGAGGTGGTTAAAGGTCTGAAGTATTTAAAAGTCATTTGGCTAGAGAAAAATGTTTTCTTGAGATGTGGAGGCAGTCGTTCATGTTTGTGCTTGAAGGCATTCCTCACCAAATATGTCTTACAAGTAAAGCACGGGGCCAACAGGTGGCATGGTGGACTCCCACATGACTGATAGTGGGTTCGAGTCCCAGACCTGGTGGCTTGCTTCCTCTTTCTCTGTCTCCCTCCTCACCCTCCAATCAAATCAAAACAAATGAATACAGTTAAATAAAAATTTAAAAAGCTTTAAAAAAAATTTTTTTTTAAAGTAAAGCACAAGATCTGGGCTCCTGGAAAGGGTTGCCTCTAGCTGGAGCACCAACCAGCAGCACATCCTTGCAGGCATTCTGCATGCAGTACTGCTGGAGCTCTGCAGCGGCTGAGATCTCCATCCCGGCCTCCAGTTTGAGCTGCTCCACCAGGTCCTATGGGGGCTTGTGCTGGCCCCAGAAGACATGGCTGCAGTGGCAGCCCTAGGCTTCCAGGGCTCCCACCCCCCATTTCTTTTTCCATTATTTTGGGCACACATATGCACCTCTATGTCTCTCAAATGGGTCCAGAACTGGAGCTGCACGGTGACCACGCGAGATCCAGCTGCCTTAACTATATCCCACCACCCGCTAGCCCATCAAGCAGTCTTTTGAATCAGCAAAGTGTCCACTGAATCCAGGTGGGTCAGCTTGTCCAAGGAGAAAGAAGAGGGCCAGACCAGACACAGAGCTATGAGGAAGACCTGCCTTTAAAGAATAAGGGACCGAGAACAGCATATGGTGTAATGGTTATGTCACTGGACTCCCATGTAGTTGGCAATGATTTGAGTCCCAGA